TTTAATATTCTTTATTTGTGAGCAATGTGGAGGAATCAGAATTTACATTTGTCTTAGATTTGCCAGGCATTGTATTTCTTAACAAATCTATGTTTTCCTCACTCTCATTAGCGCACAAAAGTAGATCTCTTGCTTTAAAGATTCTGGTCTCGTTTAAATAATTCAGTAAGAGGTCAGCATTAAAACTGGAATTTGTTCGGCCCTAAATTTTCAACTACTTCTTGGAGTATATATTAGTTTACGAATCTCCATCAAAGTCATAACAGATGTACATTATCGAATACTGTAATTAGTGCGAACAGATTGTTTTTCTGCTTTTAATTTTTTTAATGTTTCAAATGTTAACAGTGCTGAAAGAAGAAGAATTTACAATACAGGGTTGACACAAAACTTATGCAAGGAAAAATAATTGTCAGAAGCCAATCATTTTTCGGACGTGTGGACTGCAGCTCAATTTCCACGAGTTGTAAGTTGAAAGATGTTTCTTGGATTAACCAAGTTAAACACTAAAGTCACTGACTTGCATGCTCGTTTCAAGAGAGATTAATGCCGTTAGTGACGTGGGGAACAAGCTGATGACGTCACAGCAAAACCTATCGTCGATGTAAATTAAAAACTTGTCAGCTCTCACGAGGATGTAGTGGCTGACTGTTCGGTTGATGACGTAAGTGTCAAAGGTCAACCGCTTACCCTCAGGGCTCCAGACGGTGTTGTTTTTGATGGCGAGAGACAGCCTCAATCTGCCGGAGACGTCGACAGCAGAGGTCATCTGTAAATTGTAGTTACTTTGGTTGATGATTAGGTACAATGTAAAGAAGTCACGTTCCCTGTATAGACCGGTCAGCTGTATCTGTTGAAAAACAAAGTTACTGTTTTATATTTTAAAATATTTTCTCTTTTTTTTTAAAGAGTTAAATCGCTGTTGAACATGTACCTGGTTATGTAAATGCAGATTATTCTAATATGTGTTGGGATGTGCAATGGAGTCTTGCAAAAATCTTTGACTAACCCAAAATATCAAGTTCCATTGTTCGGAGTTCGCTATACGTCACTCAGCCCACCTAAGGGTTACTAAATGGAGTTGGTAAAGCAATAGGTAGCTGGACATAGTATGGGCCTGACTAGCCCTTCTTATGATGAAGACGAAGTTCATATTTAACTCTTCTAATCGATCTACTCTAAACGGGTAAATTGGTTTCAATGGAAATCTGAGTTATTAAAGAATACCCAAAACTAATTGTCGATTACTGAACACATATTCGTATTTATTATTCATAGAATTGTTATTCCAATACAGTGTAATTTTAGCATATAAGATTATATACTTACCATTGTGCCAAGCGGTAAACCATTGACACTTACACGTGCAAGTGTTGAAAAACCCTGAAATACTTTTGTTCTGGGCATGAGAAGATAACTCGATGTATAAAACACGAGGCCAGTTGCTGTACTTGCCTCACACGAATAACAAGACTGATTAGCTCCACTGAAGATATAAGAGATGTTAGAGTTCTGTGATAGAAATTTCCTGCCACAACTTAACACTGACGAAACCTTCTCTATTTCTGATGAGTTTTCCAGACATCCGTCTAAGTGTAGGCCAGGAAAGTCTTGTACCTTTGTGTAACATTGTGTAACAGTTTTCATTTTGTTACACGATGTAATGTTGACGGTCGAGGTTGAAATTTTTACAAGTAACGTAAAGTAAAACAAGTATGCGCGCATTTCTATATTGTAATGTGCTGTGCACAATGAAATAAAGTAATTCAACTAACCCGATGCTAAGTTGTATCAAACTAAATATTTTCCCAACTCGACAACTCAATTATGGTCTTTCTTTCAGTGTTGCGTGTAACAATAACATTTTTAAATGCTGAATCGATATATTCGTTACAATCGATATTTCCCTTTTCATTAAAATATCAAACCGGACACGACGCAATGCATATGTAAACGCCAATCAAACACTGAAGTCCTCTGCATAGTATTTAAATTAAAAGGTTGTGCTACAGAAACATTTATAAGCTGTTTCATCACGGTTGAAAGACCTTACTCTGGTCATAGCCTACTCTTATGCGTTCTTTTCAAATGAATGATAAGTAATGATCTTTATACGTTTTAGTTTAATTTTATCAACTAACCTTTTAACAAAATATTTCATTTATGAAACATAGAGTCAATTGTATTTATATGCTTGTAAATCATTTTAAAATTTCATATTTTAAACTCATATTTTAAATTATTACAAACTTTTATGACATATTTTTATTGTTATGTTGATATACACAATTATAAAGAATTTTATATAGCTAATTGTTTTTTTTATCATTGAAAATTTTTAGTATTAGCAATGAACTCACGTTATTTAACACACTTAAAAACTGCACTGATAATTTTCGCGTGTTATGTAAGTTATACATATCTAACCATCAACCATTTTAGTAAAATTCAAACAAACGCCAAATGGAATCGTCGCTTCATAACATTTCTACAACATTTCTCATTTATCCGGCGATTATAAGCAGTCATTTCTTCTTTAAATAATTCATAAAAACCGTACATTTTTATCATAATAAATGGCAGCTAAAAATGCTGCGATATTATAATTAACTTACAGTAATGAATATTTAGAATAATAATGTAAATGCATGCTTTTTTATGTTTTACTTTGTATACAAGCTAATGAAAAAGTTATAAACTAAAAATGAAAAATCATTGAATACAAAACTAAGTCAATAAAACATGAAAATAAGGTATAGGTTTTCAAAATAATATAACGGCAAGCATGCGCTGGCTTTAATCACATCCAGTTTCAAATTGCAGAGGCGTAGCGACCCTTCCCGGCGCCCGGGGACAAACTTTTCGATTTGCACACCCCCCCCCCTCAAGATTTCGATTAGCACCCCCCCCCCCACTCAAACTTTCGATTTGCACCCCCCTAAACCTTTCAATTTATTTTTCCAACCCATTTTGGCGCCTCCTAAGGTCGGCGCCCGGGGATTTATGTCCCCCCCGCCCCCCCCCCCCCCCTCGCTACGCTACTGTCAAGTTGATTTACGCGTTGAAGCGCTCTTGTATACGCTGTTTCTTTTGAGGAAAAGCTTGTTAAATACTATTGATTCTTTTAATTGTTATGACGATACAAAAAAATTAGCAGCAGAATGTTCACTTTTGTGTTTAAAAAAGGGGAGAAAACCATTATTGTAAAATAAAATTTAGAAAATATAGAGTTAATTCCCTCTAATACACTCTATAAAAATCTTAAAAGTGAGTAAAAACCCTTGAGGCGTAAAAACAACTTTTAGCAAATTCTCAGTTTAAAATATTTTAGACTACTTATTGTGGTGATGTCATGTGTATGAAAGGCGTGCACGTGGGACGGATCACTGCGTGCGAATATGAGTAAAGTAGTGTTACGCAAGGTCGGGTGTGTTGACGTGTATGTTGTTGTACGGAGTGAACGAGGGTAACAAGGGAAGCGACTGGTGTACGTGGGACGGATCACTGCGTGCGAATGTGAGTAAAGTAGTGTTACGCAAGGTCGGGTGTGTTGACGTGTATGTTGTTGTACGGAGTGAACGAGGGTAACAAGGGAAGCGACTGGTCGAGTGACAGCGCAGTGTTGACGTGTATGTTGTTGTACGGAGTGAACGAGGGTAACAAGGGAAGCGACTGGTCGAGTGACAGCGTGTGTGTTGACGTGTATGTTGTTGTTGTACGGAGTGAACGAGGGTAACAAGGGAAGCGACTGGTCGAGTGACAGCGGGTGTGTTGACGTGTACGTTGTTGTACGGAGTGAACGAGGGTAACAAGGGAAGCGACTGGTCGAGTGACAGCGCTCTGTTGACGTGTATGTTGTTGTACGGAGTGAACGAGGGTAACAAGGGAAGCGACTGGTCGAGTGACAGCGTGTGTGTTGACGTGTATGTTGTTGTACGGAGTGAACGAGGGTAACAAGGGAAGCGACTGGTCGAGTGACAGCGGGTGTGTTGTGAGCGGGGAATAGAGGTGTATAGGGATGAACGGAGGGGGGCGAGTTAAAATCTGGAGTAGGAAGTGACAGTTGCTGTTTGAGGAGGACAAGATAAAGGAATAGGATTAAACCGTCTGTTGTTATCTAACTTCATAGAGTTCTGTTGTTCTTTATAAGCGGTGTGTGTAGGAGAGTCCTGAAGCCCTCTTGCGGATATATATATATATATATATATATATATATATATATATATATATATATATATATATATATATATATATATATATATGTATATTTATATATATATATATATATATTTATTTATTTATTTATTTATTTATTTCTGTAAGTAAAGAATTAACGAAGTATTGTAAAAAGGGCGTTACAGTGAAGTATTAAAAATGCATTCATGTACGTTTTTTTTTTATTTTCTGTTTTTTAGTCATGCCATTCTGTTATAATTAATTTTTTTTTCCTTTTAAAAAACTTTTTGGATTAATTTAGATGTTTTTCCACAAATAAAAAATTAGTTCATCTCATCTAACGGTCGGTTTAAAAATCATCAGGTAACAAGAATAGTAACACATTTTTGTTTTATTCGGTTAGCTTTCTAGGTAAATTAGACTTTTTGTTCCAGGTCTACTGCTCATGTAGATGCTGTTTGAAATTTTTTTGTAGAAGAATGAGATCCATATAAACGATCTCAAGGCTCTTTCTGCAAGACTTTATGGCTGCATGATATCCATAAAAAAAGTTCCGCAAAATCTCCTTTCCAAGGTCTTTACTTTATGGCTGTATGATATTCATAAAGGAGATGCTCAAGATCTTCTCTCCAATGCCCTTTACTTTGTTATAGTATTAGATAAATGTAAAAGATCTCAAAGATCTTCTGTCGCAGGCCTTTACTTTATAGCTGTATTAGATCCATAAAAACATCCGCAAGATCTTCTATCCAAGGCCTTTTACTTTGTAGTTGCATGAGATCCATATAAAAGATCTCAAAGATCTTCTGTCGCAGGCCTTTACTTTATAAAACTATGAGATCCATAGAAAAGTTCTCAAGGGTCTTCTCTCCAAGATTTTTAACTTGTAGCAGTATGAGATACATATGAAATATCTTAGAGACCATCTGTCCAAAGCCTTTACTCTGTAGAAGTAAGAGATGCATATTGAATCTTAGAAACCTTCTCTCTCCAACCGTAAGTTTATCGCATGCGCCATACTTCAGGATCGACCTAATGCCTCGTTAAAAAACATTTCAGAAAGCTGTTCCCATACTCTTTGACCGTATACAACCGTGAACTTCCAGCGCATGATCAAACGCCGAAAGGTTTACAGGACTGTATCAAGAGTTTGATCGAGTCAGGCGTTTATTGGATAACTTCTTGAGACGTGCTAGGATCGGAACTCACCGGCACAATTCTATTAGTGGCGAATGCTCGTGACGTCAGAGCTGTGTTGAAGCGTGTCACGGTGACACTTTCCTCCGGCAGGTAGACGGCGGCGAAGACCTTGGGCAGGAAGAGAAACACCAGCGCCACCGTGTGGTTGAGGATGAGCGAGACGGAGAGCAGCAGCACACGGACGTACTCACGTCCAGCCGTGAAGTAGGTGGGGATGAAGGCCAGCCAGATGACCAGCGTGGTGGACACGCACATCGAGATGAACCGGGACTCGTTGAAGTTGTCCGGAAGTTTCCGGGTCTTGAAGGCGAAGACGGAACAAAGGGAGACAAGGACGAGGTTGTAGGCCAGGAAGGACGATAACCCTGGGAGAGTCATGTCACAGTTGAGCTCCACGAATTTTTCTGTGGCGACGGGTTGGGTTTTCTTGGCCGTTGGTCGGTACACGACGTACATGTAGATACAGAGGCCAATCTGAAAAATAAATAGACTTAAAAGTGTTATATTTCTAAACCTATCCACAATTTAAGCATATTTTCTTAATGTATAGGTGTTGAGAATTAAGTAACGCAAGTAATTTCAAGAGATTAGAATGTTACAAAACTTAATATCTTTAAATATACTAATTACTAATACAAGCACACAAACCAAACATGCAGTATTGATATTCAACACAACTACGAGTTTTGCGCAATCAAATTAGCCTGCATTTTATCACACATGTACAATTTTCCATAAAATTTCAGCCAAGCACATTTTTCGACTCTATCAGCACAGCCATGTATTTATAGAAAATAACCGTCAATTGCGGCTAACCGTTTAAACCTGAGTTGACTTGATATAATTGTTATAACCATAATCGTCTCTTCGCTGGCCTGCCATTTACGACATCAATAAAAAATTTCCTGCGTTTCATGGGAGAAGGAAGAAATTTTTCAATGCTAATGATGTCGTAAAAACTAGAAGTGGATTCTACGTCGTAAAACACAGCGGGGTGGCAATGAATACAGAACGTCGCTAAACTGTTCGATACAGCAGTATCGAATTTTAAGCGTCCACAAAATGACTTCAGTTTCGTTAACCAAAAAAAATTTCAATATAAACTCGATTTCTCACATATTGCATCAAAATATTTGACTAGAGCAAGAATTGTCCGATTTTGTTTTCGTCAGCTGTAAAAATCTCACTGATATCTTGACGAGGAAGAGTTCGATTGAAAAATGCCATTTCGCTAACGGGTGTTAAAGGTCGAATGTCAAGTTGGTTTAATGCACACTCACGCACACTAATACACACTCACGCACACTAATGCGAACTCACGCACACTCATGCACACTAATGTACACTAATGCTCACTCACGCACACTTATACAAACTCACGCACGCTAATACACACTCACACACAATCACGCACGCTGATGATTATACACATTCGTTTTTTTTATTCTTTGCAGGCAGGGATAAGAGTTGTGATCGATTGAGTTTACCGGGCAGATAATTGAAAGATATATGTATATATGTATATATTGATTTGTAAATATAGTATCATGAAAATTAACTGTATTCAATACACAACTAATTTTATTTTTTTATTAAGAGGGTTTAATAATATGTACTTTATTTTATGTATGGTGATAGTTGAAATCAAATCCTGAAAAAAAGATTCGTACTTCTGACTAAATTGAAATGTTGGAAAAAAACAAAAAATATTTCAGAATACATCATGAATTTTTACTCTGTACGGTTAAACGGCCAATAGATATTCACATTAAACCATCGATTATACGTCTTGACCAATTCGATTTTAAACCGTAATTATGAAATAAAATGTGAAATATTAGCATAACCAAGACCATATATTTACCTGAATGAGAATCAAAACCATCGACATGATGATCTGAGACTGGGGACTAACGAACCTGGGTCTCTTGTTGGTTTTACTGCTGTGCTGGAAGATTCTGAAGATCCGAACGGCCTTGACCAACAGCGGCGCGTAAAGGGTTGCGAAGCTGAGACAGAACATGAAGTACAGGACACCGCAGGTGTTGGGGGTGGGGTAGCTCTGGAAACTTATGACTGTGACGTAGCCAGCGAATATGGCGAGAATCTGGATCAGGCTTAACTCCCTGCTTGCGGCCTTGATAACGCGGTTTTCGCGTAGATAAATATAAGATGCGGTGACGTAACACGTGACTAATAAAGCTACAACAGCAAAACTGATTTGAATAATTGATAAGGGGCTGGACATGCCAGGGTGACTTAAGGAAATGGGTACACATGTTGTGTAGTTGGTTTCCGGGTCTGGCCAGGTGAATGGCTCGCACTCCTGGCAAGCTGTGTTCTTGTTGATTATCCTCTCATTGTTACGACAAAACCTGCAGTCCCAGCAACAAGCAGGCGTTTTCTGGATCTTGTACTCACCCACAACACACGGCCGGCTACACACAGACTCGGGACGGTTGGGTGAGGGAGAGTTTATGTCTAGAGAAATTATTCTTTCCAGCACTTTAAGATGACTCCAAGAAATATCGCTGTCAGAGTATGTTATATTTCCTGACGACACGTCATAATAAGCCACATCTCTCATTATAATTCCAGCCTTCGCCGGCTCTTTAGGATTTCCGTAACCAAACGGCAACTCAACAGCATCGTACACCATCTGATGTATGACGTACTTCCCTATTGAGTCACCGTTAGGGTCAAAGTTGATAATCCCGCTGTAACCTTTGAACTGCTCCCCTTGTAAATATCTATACACCACATCACTTTTCACGCATTCACGAACGGCAACTCCTGTGGCATTGGGACATAAAGCTGAGATAACTCTGTGTGCTGCATAAGCAAGGGCAAGAACTGAGTCCATGCATAAAGTCGGAAGAGTTAGAAAATCAAATTTAGCCGCATGTAGTAAAATGACATTTCTATCACACGTACCTAAACTGAAGGAGCATCCAAGCAGGCTCTCCCATGTTGAATTAAACCAGGGATTTAAACTACTCAAGACAGACTGTCTCTCTATGTAGGAATAAAATTCTTTCACCAAAGGCGCGAAATAAGAGAAAACAAACGACCCGTTTACGACTTCCTTCACGGCCGTCAGCGTCTCCGTCGTTGCCACGGCAACGGCGTCGCTACATAACCAAATAAACTGCCCAGTACCGTTGAGCCTGTCCACCGCCAAAGCTAAATTAATGAAGGGTGCTATGTCGATAAACACGACGACAACACGCGCACGAGGGTAGGTGAGTAGATCCAGAGCTACGTCGTCCATGTTGTCGGTGTTCTTTATACGACGCCACGTCGCTAAGCAGATGTTGTAGTCCGGAGCTGCTGATTTGATCGTGTCGAACGCCCTCTCTCCGTACGTTCCTTCTGTGTAAACCACAGATATATACGACCAGCCGTTGTCAGAGATAAACTTTAATATGCCCACTGCTTGGTACTTATCAGGACTAACCACTCTAAAGAAATACGGATGATTGCTTTTATCACTAAACTCATCCGATGTTGTTGAATAACCAATGAGTGGTATTTTAGCAGCGGTGTAGAGGAAAGATATCGGAGCAGCAGAGACGCTCAGTACAGGAGAAATAACTCCAAAAACATCATAAGACGGAAGCGGACTCTGCGCTGTGTTTTGCGAAGACTGGTTCGCAATTTCATGTTTTTCGCAAGTACTCTCTAAACGAGGTAAAAACGCCAGCGACTGGGCTATGGCTGTAGATTTGGACGAGCAGTCGTTTAAAATATAAAAGCCCAGTGTGATGTTGGGCAGAAGGTTTTCTTGTTGGTTGATCATCTCGACGGCAAACGCCACGGATTCCGTCAGCTCTATCGTCCAGGATCCCGGAAACACGACGTCTGTGCATGCGTTGTCTGACGAGGATTGTGTCGCCATCATCAGGGCCCCTATGTTGATGTCGCCTGGTTTGGCATACACTCGTCTGTCCAGTCCGTAGAACAGAACATCACTGGTTGTAGGTTCTAATCCACACTGGCATCTAACCATGAATCTTAATGTAATCATCATTGTAAAACACACACAAATATAGATGCATCTATTTTCCATTGTCAACTGCTGTTCGTTAGGTTACTTATTATGAAAACTGGATTTCTTCCGAAACGTCCAAGTCAGTCAACAGTTCCTCCAACATCTTGATCTAAATTTCGTCTCTACAAGCTTATACTTTGCTCATGGCATTCGTAAGAGTATTGATTTCTTCTGAAAGTATAGAGGTGGGAAAATGACATTAATTAGCTACAACACTAAGCCTAATGTTTTTTTTAATCAACCTTGGATGTAATCTCCAATCAGCCTGTTATTATGAACTGGATTAACTTGTTAAATACCTTATTTAAAAAACAAAACCTGCTTCATATTTTTTTTATTATTCAAGAACTATTTCCACTCCTATGAGACTATAGAAATTCAAATTTTGTCATTGAAATGAACGCCCGTAAACCACGAAGTAATAAGTTCGGTGCCTGAGCTCAAGACTAAAGGTTGACCAAAATTCCTCAACCATCCATTCTTCAACTCCACCCCCAACCACCGAGAACGACCCATCTATATGTATAATGCTCTTCATGAGGAACATGCGAGACACTATGTAAACACACGCAGTTACTGACCCGCTCTCTAGGCATATAGCTACCACCCCCACCATCACCATACTGGTGAGCTAATGTTCACCCTGAATGTTTACAATCTTAGAGCAGGGTCGAATTAGTAACGGCTAGTATGGGGCAGATAATTAAGCTTTTAAACGATTTGAAACTAAGGAGAGGTAAGAAGTTCTGCTTGATCTTTTCATTGTCGTCCGTAAACTGTCGTCATGGACTGCTGCTTTCAAGCTGGCAGGAGGGGGGAGTTGGAAGAGAGGATAGTGTCGAATTCACACATTATGAATTACTGAAATGTAGGACAAAAATACTAAATAGCGGTGTATGATACGTCGCGGGTCAACTCGTTGCAAATATAAGACTCATGATCAAGAAAATATACTTTGGCGAATTCACATAGGTCATATCAGGCAACATCGGTCTAGTGGTAACATGGGTCTAGTGGTAACATGGGTCTAGTGGTAACATGGGTCTAGTGGTAACATGGGTCTAGTGGCTGGCAACATGGGTCTAGTGGTAACATGGGTCTAGTGGCTGGCAACATGGGTCTAGTGGTAACATGGTTCTAGTGGTAACATGGGTCTAGTGGCTGGCAACATGGGTCTAGTGGTAACATGGTTCTAGTGGTAACATGGTTCTAGTGGTAACATGGGTCTAGTGGTAACATGGGTCTAGTGGTAACATGGGTCTAGTGGCTGGCAACATTGGTCTAGTGGTAACATGGGTCTAGTGGCTGGCAACATTGGTCTAGTGGTAACATGGGTCTAGTGGTAACATGGGTCTAGTTGCAACATGGGTCTAGTGGTAACATGGGTCTAGTGGTAACATGGGTCTAGTGGCTGGCAACATTGGTCTAGTGGCTACATGGGTCTAATGGTAACATGGGTCTAATGGTAACATGGGTCTAGTGGTAACATGAGTCTAGTGGTAGCCTTGTTCTAATGGCTACAAATATGTTCTGGTTTAATTTTATATTAACACATATTTCTAGAATATTTATTACGTCTTAGTAAAAATATCGGAATATTGATTTTACCTATAACGTATTGTTACATACATTTTACATGCATAATAAAAGTAAATATCTGATAATTCTAACAGAAAACTCGCAAACTTTAAAATGAATTAGTTTTCATACCTCTGAATTTTTGGTACTGTGTTCAATGTTAAATTAAGGTATCCATTTTAACGTAGAAAATGTTCCAGTATTAAAGTACACAAAAAAACAACTCCGAATCAAAGCTACGAAAAAGACAACTAAACACAGCCTATTTAACGGAAATATTTTTTTTTTATTTCTTCAGCTTTACGACACAAGATGTTTGTACACGTCCCAAATTACGAATGTTAAAGCTTTATTCCTTCATATTTTTTAACACACTTCAGGCCTATAATATATGTTCCAAAGTATAACTACCGATTCTGTATCCTGATGAAAATGTATCTTAAAGTTTAGTACTTCATCGTTTAACGGAATAAAATATTGAACACAATCTACGACTGACTGATACGCATTGCCTGTACTCTTTTACTTTACTAACAGTAGAGTCACGATCAGCTATTTTTGAAAATAATTGGAAATTAGGAAATCGAGACTGGCATGACGCTTTACATCAATATCCAAGTTCCACACATTCGTTGTTTTTTGTAACAAACATGCAATTATTTTTATAAAAACATGATTCTTACAGGTTTGGCTTTATTGGTCATTAATATTTATTTAATTCAAAAGTAATGAGTCATTAATATTTATTTAATGAAATATAATGATTGTGTTAAAATGTTGAAACTTACGATTTTTCACGTCTTCTTGTACCATATTTAAAAAAAAAATTACATACAGTTTATTAAGGCTGTTTTGTTGTATTCCCATTGAATTAAGTTCACAGTATTTATAATTGTATCCATAATCTCAATATTATATCTAATGCATGCTATATTACTTACATTTACATTACTTTCAAAGTGTTAAAAGTTTTATAAAATTACCATCAGGCTATTGAAATAACACCTCGCGAATTGTAATGTGGGAAGTTACCATCACAACACACACCTTGCAATGTGAGTGTAAAATAAGCATGCAGTGCATTGACCGCTCTCACTGCGAATGAGAAAGAACATGAACAAAACTACTGTCATCACCTGCGCAGGTTGTGAATGGACCGCTCACCTTACCTATACTCACCCGTGTTTAATTATCACGGCTTATCAGATCGATGGTACTTAGCAACAATCATGGAGAAAATGGTAGAGAACTCGTGGCTGACAAGCATTGATTGTATGGGGCATGGGGATTGTTAAAGCAGTGTAAAAATTATCAAGTTATTCAACACGAGAGTTGTGTAAAGAGCAGCAGCTTTGTTATAGGTGTCAACTCAATCTTCTCCATGTTTGGCTAAATAGCTCACATCGAGTCACAAGGTATGACAGAGTTTTTTCACAACGAATACGCGAGACAAAGGTCAGATTAATGTAAGATGCAAGACAATAGGGGAGGGGTAATTAAACTATTTGCTTGTTGAATGTTGTTAATAATGTTGTTTAAGTAAATATATTAGTAAGGGGAGGGGTATGTGTTATAGGTAAGATAAAATATCGCTAATATTATAAAGAGCTGAAAGAAAACAAATGTTTTCTTTTCGTTGATAAATAAAAAATACAATAAAAACAATTATTTATAAAAAAATAATTTTCTAAAAATCTATGGGAAGAAATCAGTTTTTAAAAATGCATTACAATTTATTCTAGGAACTTTGACTAGTAATTCCGTGCGCTTTACAACTTTGAAAAAATAAATTAAAGACATACCTTGTATCTACACTATCTTACCTATCATAGACCTTGGTAGATGACAAAAATTAACACTAGGTTTGTCAAAATGTTAACTAATCCAAATCAGTTTAATCACTTCGGACTTAAAGACGTGCCGGTTATTAAAACTTCAAAATTCCCTATGTTAGTCTCGAGGTGTGCTACTGTAAAACAGATTCTATTTGATGTGCAGAAATATAAGAGAAAAATATTCCACTCCTTCACATTTTAAAATTATACAGTTCACAAAGACGTAATTTACAGAGTACTACAGTAGGAAAGAGTCCCTGTAAAGCAATTACAACTTAACCACGAACAATAAATATTAGATGAACCGCAAGCGCAATATTTAGATTTAATGAATTCAAATAGTGATGTTCTGCACTAATTCTACTCTCAAATCTAACGCTAAATGCACTTAACTTCCTTCAAGCTCAGAGGCAAATGTTGTTGCCTATATGTATACGTCTTCTTTCCAACTTTCTCTCTTCCTCTTATTTTTTTACCGTTCTTTAAAATATTCATCAATCGATTAAATTTTTACCTGAAGCCAGGAAACTGTATGTGTGTTGACAAGCGAATGATATATCTAGCTAATGGATTCATTGAATCTATACAACCGCCTGATGTACGCTGGCAATGAGCTGTTTGGTTCACCTCACTAAAACCTAATCATAGCCAATTTGTGCGAATGATATAAATTAATTTTATATTAGTCTTTCATTTATGAAAAAAATAAACCAGCTTGAAATAAAAATCATTTTGCGAGACCTATTCATCGAAATGGGTGATGTTTTAAAACGTTACTTCGAGTTAATGGAATCTGCATTGAAAATATTGCATATATTTTACTGTATTTTTATGCTCAATGTATTTCTTTTCATTTAAAAAAAAACCATCCAGCAATTTGATGTATAACTATCTTGTATGGTAGTCAGTATGTTGCTGAGTGTAAACTGCTTAGATAACTCCGCATCTTGTTAGAAGGTCGTTAGTAGAGGTGTACGTGTAAATATCGTGTTGCAAGTACACTTCTGTTTTCAGACCTAACGATCCACTTGGCCAATGAAGTATAGAATGTTGCTTGACCTTTGCAAGTGAATTAGAGTTCAACTGTTTGTGTGACCTCAGCACTATAACGTTATTTAGGTACCCGTCAGATGTGCGTAGACTCAGGGATGTTCTACTGACTCGAACACGGATTCGAACTCGAGTCTTTTGGGTTAGCAGTCTAGCGCTGTACCGCTAGACCATTTAAACTGTCAGGTTAGAAAAGAGAAGTTTACTTTACTACTACGGAGCTTGTCAGATGCACAGCCGCTCTTATATCCCCTAACGTGGTCAGGTACCCATCAGAGCTGAGTGAACTCAGCGACGGCTTGCAGACTCAAGCCCAAAACCGAGATCAGAACCATAAATCTGTTACTAGAGCAAAGTTGAAGTAACCTTCGATCTCCTTGGTTGGGATTTGTTATAGATAGACTAGCAGCTGGTCATAGATTACGGATTGGCCTTTTCGCACTAGATCAAGACTAAAGCAATGCGTCTTTTAGCTCAATTTTTATGATAAAACACGATAAGATAAACACTAGAACCATTCTAAAGTTAGCCATTGATCACATAATACCTAAGTTATCTTCAAATCTTTCCTGGCTTCGCCTTTGTGTTGCTAGTCATGTTTGAATGTTAAGATCGTGCCTTCAACCCTTCCGTACACTACGATTTTAGTTTAGACTACAATTTGTTTGAACAACGCAAGGAGAGTATAGATTTTTTTTAGATTATGACGAGAACGAACAAAAAAAATCGGATGATGAAATGATGTGTGGTTAAGTCTAATCGTAAGTTGTAGTTCAGTTCCTGATATGGCATGAGGGTTGGAGCGATAGTTTGTTTAATGCGATGTTCAGACGGTAATTACAATGAAGGTTACTGTGAGATCTAGTTTAATGCAGTGTTCATCCGGTAATAACAAAAATGCTACCGTGAGAATAAGTTTTAATGGGATGTTTACACAGTAATTACTTATTGAGAGCCATCGACATCTCTCAAACAAAATTAAACAGATATAAATCTATTAGTAATTATGATCAGTATTTATGAAAACAAGTTATACATGTAGGCCTATATTGGATTAAAAAGATTTTACAGTTTGAACCAAAAATGTTAATATGGCTATTTTCCCATCCCCTCCCATTCAGTATTTTCAAGGTTAAAACGAATTTCTATAGGAAATAGTAAAAAGCTTTGCAATATATGATCAAGCCTAAACTAAAACTACATTTTGGTAACATTTTAAATATTACAATTTTTAAATTTGACTTAGGGATATCATTCGATTGTACATTTTTTTAGACTGGAATTATTTTAAACTGCCTTCAGCCGATCCCCATTTTAGTATAAATAAGATCAGCTCATGTAAGTTTGTTATAATTTACCTAAAATTTATTCAAAATAACAATACATTTTACAAGCAACTGAAAGATCAGCTATATCGAAAACTTTGTACAATTCATAACTTATGCTTATATATATATATATATATATATATATATATATATATATATATATATATATATATATATATATATATATATATATATATATATATATACTAGCTGCAAACCCGTGCTCCGCCACGGTAAATCTTTGGAAAAGTGCCAACTTGGGAACAGAACAAAACGCAACACAACACAAACAAAAAAGAAATCACAAACACAACACAACCACAAAAGAAAACACAAACACAATGCAAACACAAACGAAAACACAATGGCAGCACACAAACACAAAAGAAAAAACAAACGCAAATAAAAACACAAATGAAAACACCAACACAATGCAAATACAAACGCAAAAAAACACAAAAGAAAAAACAAACACAACACTCATAACATAAACACAATTTAAATGCAAACATAAACGCATAGTGCTCACAGTTTAGCCCATGGCGCCAAATCGCACCCTGAACAAGCGCCGGCGGACGCGCCTGATTCAGTGAATGACTATAAAAATCCCAGCTTGTCCGCAAACGGAAAGTTAGATTAATAATAGTAAAGATTACGTTCAGTGTATAAAATAAATAAATGGCAGTATTTAAAATATCCCTTTTTTACCTACCACATTGCACTTAATCTATGCATGCATTTATTTTCAGAATTTTTTAAAAAAAATAACAATAGAATTACATGACTAAAACCATTTTTTGCACACTTAATGAACGTTATGACGCGTCTATAACAGTGCAGAATAGTTGATTAAAAATTATTTTTAGTGAACAGGACGTTTGGTGAATAAAATAAATAAAAGATAGCCTTTTATCAATCAATGCAAATTATAATATTCCAACAATAATGTCCTCTGCACATTTGCATTCATATTTTGCTAATTACATTATTGCAACAATAATTCCTTCTAGGAGGACCATAGATTTTGGAATCACATTTTTTTTCAATTTGCGTTAGTTGAATTTATTTTTAAATTACCTCCCTTGGAAAATTACAAAACAGTTTAATTCGTTTATTCGACCCTATCATTATTAAAATGTATCGACTTTTTCTAGGAATCTAAACGAAAATGATATTTGACATTGATCATTTTAATATGTTTTAGCAATGTGTGTGTATTTAATATTTTCTTTACGTTATGCAAAAGAGTAAAAACAGCGGCAACTATAAAATAAATTTATTTAAGTCGTTATATAAACAAACCCTACTCATTTACAATAAGTCAATGCAATGCACTGAAAAGCACTGCATGGTGCGATGTTTACTTTTATAGTTCAAAAATCTATAGCGATGGCAGACTGTCACACTACCTAGCCGCATATATTATAAAAGATATATGCAGCTATGTTAAAACTGTTCTTAAATGTACTACGTAATTGCACGTTGATGCATATATGCGACACATTTTTTAAATCAAATAACAGTTGTGTTTTTATGTAATGACTGCATTTTGAATGTATATTTAAGCTCGGAATAAGCTATATAGCATTATATAGGCCTACATGAATTATTATCTTTCGAAAAAAAACAATGTAGGTTGAACGGATACATTTTTTTGCAAATACCAGTGAACTATTAATTTATCATTGTAGAACTAACTGACAATTAAAAATATTAACATATTTTAGATGACAATAAATTGTGTATGTTCATATGTAAAAGCAACACAACTGCTTAGTATTTATAGGCAGCCTGCACAGATAAATCTAGAAATAGCACAATCGCAATGATGAAGGAAAGGACGGAAACTTGACAAGGGAAATAACTCCAGATTATCAAGTTGTTTATATTCATCAGTTTTTATTTCATCCAATTATGCCACAAACCCATGTTTTTTTAGAAGCACGTCAATAAAGCATCATTAAGATAATTAGTGCATTAACGAAATGTTTTTGCTTGACCGAGAAACCAAATTATGGTCAATGTTGTCTGTGAACATCGGCATACAGTGACATTACGTTTGATTACATGATATTTTTATAAGCTTGTCGCCGGTTGCAGAGTATACAGACAGCTAGTTAACTATTTCACAGGCGCTAATTAAGCATAAAATCTCATAATTATTATTTTATGAATTTCAGATCAGGTAAAACCGAACCAACATCCAATAAAAACAACGGACACCGGGATAAAAAACAACTACATGGGCCTACAACTTAATTTTTTTAAGAAAAAAAATATGTTAGTTTGCCTAATTCTTCGTTTGTGTTTGGTTTTTACAGTTGAAATAAATAACATGAACCAGAAAAGTATTAAAATTTACCACTTAACACAATGTTGATATAGTAAATGCATGTGATTCAACGATGGACAATTATTTGTCTGTTCACATAGAGGTAAATACATTTTTTTTTAAAAATAGCCTTAATTTTTGAATGATTTGTTCATATATGGGTAATTACATTTAAAAAAATTAATGCTTTTGATTTTCAAATTATTTGTTTGTATATAGGTAAATGCACGCTTAAAATATAATGATTATATGTTTCAATAACAATATTGTCTATGTTGTGACCCATATTATAATATATTATTCTTTATATCCATAGAGACTAGCATTGAATTAGCAACTTACCCTTCTAGATGACAATGATTATTTTATATTCCTTAATGTATTTCCTAAAATAATCTTTACAGATGTTAATGAACATGCGATTAAAATTTCAACTATATTACGATGATTGTTTTAAAACTTATGTTAAAAATATAATGTACAATGGCGTTTAGATAAACCTAATGTATTGATTTATAAATACTGAAAACGGTATCTAATATAATGCAGTGAAGAAAATAGTACAGGGTATAAACAATATTAAAATCCTTCAAGCGATGTACTAGGGTCAGAGTTCATGGGTGCTATCCGGTTGGTAGAGGTCAACGCTCGTGACGTCAGAGCTGTGTTGAAGCGGGTCACGGTGACACTTTCCTCCGGCAGGTAGACGGCGGCGAAGACCTTGGGCAGGAAGAGAAAGACCAGCGCCACCGTGTGGTTGAGGATGAGCGAGACAGAGAGCAGCAGCACACGGACGTACTCACGTCCAGCCGTGAAGTAGGTGGGGATGAAGGCCAGCCAGATGACCAGCGTGGTGGACACGCACATCGAGATGAACCGGGACTCGTTGAAGTTGTCCGGAAGTTTCCGGGTCTTGAAGGCGAAGACGGAACAAAGGGAGACAAGGACGAGGTTGTAGGCCAGGAAGGACGATAACCCTGGGAGAGTCATGTCACAGTTGAGCTCCACGAATTTTTCTGTGGCGACGGGTTGGGTTTTCTTGGCGGTTGGTCGGTACACGACGTACATGTAGATACAGAGGCCAATCTGAATCGAAAAAACATAAAATGTATAATTCATTGTTTCAAAAATTTCCATTTTATGCCATTAATTTGTTTTGCAAAAATATTTCCGAATAAATTCGATAGCTTTAATATCTTAAAAAACAAGAATGGATTAATATTTGATTGCATAAAGACAGTAAGATGCGTATTGCTTTTCATTATAATAAAAAGGAAAAATGTAAATCAAAATATGACTTGATTTTCTCGTAATCACTTGATATAATAATTTTTATGTTTATAATCATGAGAATGTTTTAATTATTCAATTTAGTAAATAAATTCATTAGTTTTGTATTCCATTTAGAATCAAACAATTTTTCAAGTGCTTTTCTCTGTAAGCTAGTTTGTGAAAACCTTTTTAAAACCTGATGTCAGCGTAAGCAAAATGTTTATATTGAATTAATAATTACATGTTCTGACTAAAAGTAAAATAAAGTTACCTGAATGAGGATTAAAACCAGCGACATGATGATCTGAGACTGTGGACTAACGAACCTGGGTCTCTTGTTGGTTTTACTGCTGTGCTGGAAGATTCTGAAGATCCGAACGGCCTTGACCAACAGCGGCGCGTAAAGGGTTGCGAAGCTGAGACAGAACATGAAGTACAGTACACCGCAGGTGTTGGGGGTGGGGTAGCTCTGGAAACTTATGACTGTGACGTAGCCAGCAAATATGGCGAGAATCTGAATCAGGCTTAGCTCTCTGCTTGCGGCCTTGATGACGCGGTTTTCGCGTAGATAAATATAAGACGCGGTGACGTAACACGTCACTAATAAAGCTACAACAGCAAAACTGATTTGAATAATTGATAAGGGGCTGGACATCCCAGGGTGGCTTAATGAAATGGGTACACATGTTGTGTAGTTGGTCTCCGGGTCTGGCCAGGTGAATGGCTCACACTCCTGGCAAGCTGTGTTCTTGTTGATTATCCTCTCATTGTTACGACAAAACCTGCAGTCCCAGCAACAAGCTGGCGTTTTCTGGATCTTGTACTCACCCACAACACACGGCCGGCTGCACACAGACTCGGGACGGTTGGGGAAGTTAGAATTTTTATCTAAAGAAATGATCCTCTCTACAACTTTCAGATGGTTCCATGAGATATTGTTTTGAGTGTAGGTTATATTTCCTGAAGACACGTCGTAGAAAGCCACTTCTCGTTTTATAACCCCAAGCACCGTTTCATTACCCGTAGATCCATAGCCAAAAGGTACCATAACTTTGTCATAAGACATTTGATACACTACATACTTTCCTATAGAATCCCCGTTTGAATTAAACTCTATTCGCCCGCTGTAGCCCTGGAACTTTTCCCCTCTCAGTCTCTGGTATAGGTCGTCACTTTTGACACAGTCGCGGACGTCAGTTCCTGTCGCGTTGGGACACAAAGCTGAGATAACTCTGTCTGCAGCTTGAGCAAGGGCGAGAACCGAGTCCATGCTTAGCGTAGCGAACGTTTGAAAATCAAACTTAGTCGAGTGTAGTAGGCTGATATTCGGATCGCACGTTCCCGCGTCAAACGAACAATGTTTTAAGCTTTCCCATGTGGGTTTGAACCAGGGATTCGAGCTTGTCAACACATTTTGTCTCTCAATGTACGAATAAAACTCCTGTATAAGCGGGGCGTAGAACGAAAACACAAAAGCACCAGAAAAATAATCTTTGATCGAAGCTAAACTTTCAGCAGTGGCAAACGCCATAGCGTCACTACACACCCACACAAACTGGCCCGTACCATTCAGACGGTCTAACGATACTAGTAAGTTTGACAATGGTTTCTCATCAATGAATGCCACTACTACTCTAGCTCGGGGATATGTGAGGAGTTCATAAGCCGTCTCGTCCATGTTTTCAGTGTAACTGATTCGATGCCACGTCGCCAGGCATATGCCAAACTTCTGAGCTAAAGTTTTAATAGTATCAAACGCTCGCTCTCCATAAGTCCCTTCTAAGTAAACAATAGACAAATACGACCAGCCATTGTCAGATATAAACTTCAGTATGGCTTCCACTTGATACTTATCAGGACTAATCACTCTAAAGAAATACGGATGATTACTTTTATCACTAAACTCATCCGACGTAGTCGAATACCCAATGAGTGGTATTTTAGCAGCGGTGTAGAGGAAAGATATCGGAGCAGCAGAGACGCTCATGATGGGCGACAGTATACCGATAACATCGTAAAAAGGTAGAGGCGATTGCTGGGAGTCACCTGACGTCGAGGTATTGAGCTCCAGCTTCTCACACTGACTCTCAGAACGAGGTAAGAACGCCAGCGACTGAGCTATGGCTGTAGATTTGGACGAGCAGTCGTTTAAAATATAAAAGCCTAGTGTGATGTTGGGCAGAAGGTTTTCTTGTTGGTTGACCATTTCGACGGCAAACGCCACGGACTCCGTGTATTCTATGGTCCAGGATCCAGGAAAAATGACGTCACTGCACAAGTTCTCCGAGTTTGGGAGTGTCGCCATCATCAGGGCGCCTATGTTGATGTCGCCTGGTTTGGCGTACACTCGTCTGTCCAGTCCGTAGAACAACACGTCGCCGGGTGCAGGTTCTAATCCACACTGGCATCTGACCAGGTTTTTGCTGGAGAATGTTAAAAAAATAAAACCGCACAACACCGAGACGATGAGCTTTATTTTCATGGCGATAAAAGCCAGTTGGTGTTGTCTAATTATTTGTTATCTGCATGCTTGCATTTTTCTTGTCGTCATACCATTGTAACTGATATTTCCAAATGTATTTTCCTTCATTAAATATTCATCACATTTTCTTGCCATAGATGTATTCAATCCCAATGTTCTAAAGGCTGCCAACATGTTTTCTCCCATAGTTCTGTAACGATAAAGAAAGTAACTATTACTTTTTACACCAAAGTCAACCATAAGTATTAAGATGAGAAATAAATCAGAACGTCTTAAAAAATCTAGCAGAAAACCAAATATTTTTTTATAAATACTGTACCATAAAATAATGTATTAAAGAGTTTTCAACCATGTCAATTGGATTCGATTTCTTACCAAAATTTTAACTAGACTTCACATTTAACAAATAAAATATTAATCTATAGACCATATACTAATAATTTGAATATGTGTAATTTATTTCGTTATATAACAGTGTATTTAAAGTAAAATATAAGTTTGAACACCCGAACGGATAATTTATCTAGAAAATTTAAGTTAACATTTAAGTATAATTAGCAATTTGTTGATGCACAGTTACGTAATTGAGTTTTAAAAACTCAAGAAAAATTAAGAAATAAAAAAATGTATTATAGAAAAATGTTTTTACTACCAATATTTTATGAGTGTTCATTTTGTTATAATTTAATAATAAATAATTTATTTCTTTTTTTCTGCTCTTGTTTTAAATTAATCTAATTAATAATGATTAAAATGTGCATAGTAAATAAAACCGTTGCAACTCTGAGCAAAACTGCAATGTTAAATTAAAAAAATATATAATATAAAAGATTTAAAACGTTGACAATTCTATCACAATTTAAATTAACATTAAAATAATATTTAAAAGGCGAATTCAATTTACTATGTAACAGCTATAATATAAGATGAAATATAAAATAAAAAGTTTCATAACATTCTATTTCCATAAAATGTAACTTCATTAACGTAGGTTCTTGATTGAAACAAATAAAAACAATAAAAAACATATTTTTATGTATCCTCTAGACAAATCAGTTGAAAAGCGTCTTATTCTAAGCTCTTTATATTTCTCGTCGACACATAATAGACTTTTGAAGCACTGGACCAGAAATCGTCTTCCTAGTGAAATAAAAATTGATCTTTTCTTGTCAAGTTTTGACATGATGTTATAGGAGAGAAAACTGCTGAGCGGATGGAGAGAGAATAGCGTAATCAAAAATTCTTGCGTATGAATAGAAGCTTTGTTACAATAATTTATTTCATGAAAATGCTTGATAAAAATTATTTCCTTTTTATTTCATAAAGCTTCGTTGTTTGTTTTTTTTTTAATTTTAAACATTTTATTTAAAAACAACGAAACATGTATCTAATTTTGTACATTTTTTTTCGATTAAAGTATTTGTAACATTTATTGGCGTATTGAAAATTAGCATAAAACATGATCAAGATTTTGTTGTACCTCAGATTTAACAATCCTTCCGAAAAAAATTGAAACAAAATTAAAATAGAAAAATCCATATTATCAAGCCAATAAACTTCAACTATCCTATAAAAAAAATTCGTAAGCGCGTAAATGATTTATTGAAGGGAACAGAGGATGACATTTAAATGTAGAGATAAATTGTGTACAGATATACAATTAATTAAACAATGAATTAGTAGACTAGTTTTATATATATATATATATATATATATATATATATATATATATATATATATATATATATATATATATATATATATATATATATATATATATACATATGTTTATATATACATATAAAATTCATAACCAGTCTCCATATGTTACCTTAATTATATGTGAAAATATCCCACCAATATTGCCAGCAATTTCGCATTACATCCAAACGAAGCTCGTTTTATCTGAATGTATTAAAGTCAATTTTCTAGAAAAAAAACTTAAGCATTTTTTATTGAAAACGTTTTAGGGTTGTTTTTTTTTCCTCTTTTTACTAACTTATTAAACATTTACCAAATCACAAAATATTTTATCCCTAAAGCATGGCATAACTCTAACATTTATTTTTTTGTGTCGCACATCCGCTTCAACAAAAAAAAATCAATTTAGACGCACGTGACATTAACGTCGTTGCGCTTCCCTACATGTTAAATGGAATTGAAAATCCAAGGGCTAATTGGATTCTTCCAGCATACGATTCCATTTTCTAAATATTTGAAGAGATATCCGCATCGGGGGATAATCTCCGAGATCAATTAACTCAGTCGGTCCCACCAGGGGTGCGTTTTAAAAGATTGCTGCTAAACTCAACGGAAGGATTAGTTCACTCCTCATTAGTTTGAATAGGGTAAATACGTTGGACTACAAGAATCTGATAATGATTAAATCGATTTTTAAGGTTTATTTCTGTTTTTCTATCACGATAAAGTGCTTGTGGGAGGAAATTAAACGTTTCAATAAGTAGGATAAAGATTTATTGAAGAATAGTTTACTGCGGAATAAAATATTAACTCATTACTTTGGCATGTTAGTACAAAATGAAAGAACGGTTACAAAAAGAATACGTTCAAAAGATATCCCTAATTATTTATATAGGCTATGTTTATTTTTAAAAATATTACCTAAGCACTTTAGAAGATCTTGCATTAAAAGCTGGTCAATATAAATCTATAAATCTATAATGCAAATACAAAATTAATATAAATTAATTTCTGCTAATTTATATACCCAGGTGATTGTAATTTTCGAAAAACATAATTACAAAATGTTTCCACTCTCCACAGACTCCCGTCGCTCTTTTTTACTTTTTCCCAATTATCCTTCGTATCTTTTCAACCTGCTCCACGTCGCCGTGTTTTCGTGGCTCGACCATAGCGTTGTTTGCCTTGGAGGTTCCATTCCAAAGTTTGTCTGGCTCTGATGCTGTGTCTATTCTGCTGCTTGTGTCTATTCTGCTGCTTGTGTCTATTCTGCTGCTTGTGTCTATTCTGCTGCTTGTGTCTATTCTGCTGTTGTGTCTATTCTGCTGCTGTGTCTATTCTGCTGCTTGTGTCTATTCTGCTGCTTGTGTCTATTCTGCTGCTTGTGTCTATTCTGCTGCTGTGTCTATTCTGCTGCTTGTGTCTATTCTGCTGCTTGTGTCTATTCTGCTGCTGTGTCTATTCTGCTGCTTTTGTCTATTCTGCTACTGTGTCTATTCTGCTGCTTGTGTCTATTCTGCTGCTTGTGTCTATTCTGCTGCTTGTGTCTATTCTGCTGCTTGTGTCTATTCTGCTGCTTGTGTCTATTCTGCTGCTGTGTCTATTCTGCTGCTATTCTGAGTCTATTGCCTCGCCAATCGCCATTTAATTTTCACGATTTACATTTTACTGGGTTTTTTGTCCACAAATCTCCCATAGTTTGTTGTTTTTAATCTTGTCGTGCCATTATATTTTTATTATGTCCCTTAGGCCTTTTTTTTTCAAATCTGGATTCGTTTTAGTTGTTGTCTCTTTTGTCCACGATGTCTAGGATCTGTAGACCAGTAATCCAGCATAAAATTAGCTTCTCTTTAATGCTACATCTTCTGTCATTTATTGTGTCTTATAAAATCTATTATGGACTTTCAATACAAACATCTATCAGCAGGACTGAGGTTGGGGAGGCGCAATGATTTATTGTTCCGATTTGTAGACGCAGTCATTTGATACGTTTTTTACTCGAGGCGCTGGTTCAACATGTTTAGAAAATCCGAATCGTAAACAACAATTGGTATTTCATCAAGACGGCAAATGGGATAAACTGCAGTCGTCTGCTTGTCTAATTGCAATTGTCGGCTTGTCTAACTGCTATCGTTATCTTATAATTTTGTTTTATTTCAACTCGTTCATCTAGCTCATAGACGTTATTACTGACGTCATTGAAAGAATTGCACAAATCTCAATGCGCTAAAGTATTGCACAAATCTCAATGCGCTAAAGTTTTGCACAAATCAGAATGCTATAAAGTATTGCACAAATCTCCAAGCGCTAAAGTATTGCACAAATCTCAATGCGCTAAAGTATTGCACAAATCTCAATGCGCTAAAGTATTGCACAAATCTCAAAGCGCCAAAGTATTGCACAAATCTCATTGGGTTAAAGTATTGCATAAATCTCAATGCGCTAAAATATTGCACAAATCACAATGAGCTAAAGTATTACACAAATCTCATTGCGTCAAAGTATTACACAAATCTCAATGCGCTTAAAGTATTGCACAAATCATACTGACACATAACAATCGAAGCCTTTTAAAGCAAGAAATTTGTGTACATGCGTAAAATTTGCTATTGAGCTTTGAAATTTATCTACTTTTATTTCTTTTTTAGATCTCTTGAGATCTACCTCACTCCAAAAGTGCGAAATTATTATAAACATAACAACTTGCTTGAAGTACACAACTTTAACCTTTAAATTCGCTTGAAGCAAGATTAACTTTTACATTAGATGCACTTTGCCTGATAACATTTTTCAGTGAATGGTTATCTCTCGAGGGAGTTGGACTGAAGACCGCGGAAAAACGTGTTTAAAATTAGTTTTAGGTTTGTTGTTTTTAAATGTCGTTAAAAAATTGACTTTTAGTACTCAAATTTGTACGCATTGCCCTCACCCCCCCCACATACACCCCCACATAACCCCACATTACTGCAAGTCAAAGAGACATGTCCATTGAGTAAGATATGTAACTGTTTCATTTACTGATATATATATATATATATATATATATATATATATATATATATATATATATATATATATATATGTGTGTGTGTGTGTGTGTGTGTGTGTGTGTGTATGTACATATATATGTATATATATGTATAAGTACATATATATATATATGTATATATATGTATATATACATATATATATATGTATATATATATATATATATATATATATATATATATATATATATATATATATATATATATATATATATATATATATATATATATATATATATATATATATAATAT